GGGTTTTGTTTATGTCATTTATATTTGTATCACTCATACCTAATACACTGCCTATCACATAATGGTTTTGAAATGTACCATATTTAGGGGTGATCCCAATGCCAGGTCAGTTATAGTGTGACCTCGTGGATGGAGCTGGCTCCATTGGTTCTCTGGTTAGTTCACATCTCTTCATATGATACCAACAGCTAAGGCCAACGTGTTTCACCTACAATCATTTTTTGACAGTCTTACTTGGTCTAGGACCTCCCCATAGCCACTGAAGAATGATGCCAATGTCTAAGATAGGGGTCCTTATCAGGAACATGTTGGGGTTTACCCCAAACCACTCAACCCCACTGACTGCCAAGAGTGGACCTGTGAAATCCATCAGAACAACATCTCTTCCCCTCTGCCCATGCCTGAACAGAAGGCTGGAAACAGAGGTTCCTTACCATCCTCTTTCATAAGAACATTGGGCAATAGTTTTCGTAGAGTTTTTGGAAAGCAAAGACGAGAAAAGTGAAAGAACAACTGCATTGGGCAGAGTTTGTAAGCTCTGGATTTCAGGTTGCCTCCTTCTGGCTGACTGCTTATCTCTCTCTGAAACACATCACCTCTTTAATCAGCTGGCTTTGGGCCTCTCTGGAGTTGCCTGATGACCATTTCTGCTCTTGCCGATTCTGAAGGACCATCAGCGCATTCCAAAAGAGGAACAGAGAAAGCTACAAGACATGGACTCTAGTTTACTTTTACTTCATAATAGCTACTCCACACTAAGCTGGTGACTTGGTCTTTCTAAACCTCAAATTCCATTAAAATTAAAGCCTATTCTACCCATTTCTGGGTTTTCTTTGAGGACCAAAGAGAAAATCTACTATGAAGGCATTTTCTAAATTTTCAACCACTAAGCAGATATGTAGAACTGCTGCTTTCTAATGGTGTCTAGTCCAAATATTTTCCAATTGTGAGATGAACTTTGATCTTTATGCCATATTATATCACCCATCCCTTGTATCATTCTGTGTCTATTTATTGGGCAGCTACACGTGACAGGCATTGCACTAGGAGCTAAGGAGTGAGAGATCAAAGATGAAAACCTCCAACTGGGTTTGGCAAAGAATCCCATAGAGCTCTAAGGAGTGGCACCCCAGCCAGACTGGGTGTGGGAGCGTCCGGAGGCTGCAGGGGAAGTCAGAGAATCCTTCCAAAAGTGAGTTGTGATTTTGCTGAGCTCTGAAGGAGTCAGAGGAGTTAACCAGAGGAAGATGAGAGTGTTCCTGGTAGAGCAAGTGGTACATGAGCTTAGAGGTGGGTGTTTCCCAAAGGGGATGCTGTTGACAATTAGCGGGGACAAATGGATGGGCCTCTCCCATGTCTTGGGGGATGTTTGACATCCCTGTCCCCACAGCTAAATGTCAGTAGTACACGCATACCCACACCTAATATGACAGTTCAAAATGCATACCTGACCACTTCATGGGGCATCCCATGGTTGAGGGACACTGCTGAGAAGATTCATGGAGGAATTAGAACTAGAATATGACTAGGTAAGACAGAAGGAGGAGAAAAATTAGGAAGGCAGATTATAAATGCCCTGTATGCCATCTGAAGATTACTTCCTAGAAGGAATTTCCTTGATAGACCATATACAAAGTGTTTGGATGGAGTCTGGCACATAATACAGGGTCGATAAATTCTGGATCACTATCTCTCAGGATCCTGCCCAACCTTATTAGTCACAAATGCACATCAGAGATTCAAATGCACACCACAGTCAAACTGGCTGATGACAGTTAATGCTAATGACCCTTCAACTGGACAGAAACAGTGACAAGGGGAAAGATCTCTCCAAGGAGTCAGTAAGGTATGCCCAGGATCTTGGGCTCTTTTCTGGTGTGTGTGTGTGTGTGTGTGTGTGTGTGTGTGTGTGTGTGTGTTGCTGATCAAACTTATGTCTTTGTGAATGCTAAGCACATGCTCTACCACTGACTTGACATACTCAGCCCCACCTCTCTGCCCTTGAGGCCCCACATCTGGTTTCTGGAAATCTCAATCCAGGCAAACTCTAACCCAGAAAGAAAAAGATCAAAGGCCACTATCACCTCTACCCGTCACTAGGGAGTGCCAAGGCAAAGATACCATGGACTGCTAATACATCCTGTGGCAACCCAAGCCCCAATTTCTAAGCACTGGTGCTCACTGCCATAGCATGAACTAAAAATAAGGCTGCATTTTTCTATAATCAGCAATGTTATGTGTATTTGTTAGGTTCCAGCCTGGCCCTCAAACCCCATTTTACCCATATAGTAATTAAACCATAGCGGTGAAGGTGTTTGGAACCCCACTATCCTATGTAATGCTATTTCCAAGGAAGAGGTGTTTCTAATTCCAAGCAAAAGATTGAAAAGAAATATGATCCCCATTTGTCATACCCTTACCCAGATTCCAGTCATACTTAGCTATTACTCTTTTATTGTTGTTGTTATTATTATTATTATAATTATTATTATTTGGTCCTGGGGATTGAACTCAGAGGYGCTTAACCACTGAGCCACATCCCCAGCCCTTTTTTGTATTTTATTTAGAGACAGGGTCTCTTTGAGTTGCCTAGGGCCTTGCTAAGTTGCTGAAGCTAGCTTTAACTTGTGATCCCCCTGCCTCAGCCTCCCGAGTCTCTGGGATTACAGGCCTGCACCTCCAAGTCTTTACTTGTGCTGTGCTCTGTGCCTGAAATGCTCTTGCAAATCATCCCTCCTGTGGGCACCCAGAGCACACAGTTCCTCTCGCTGTCAAGCACTTGCCACCCCACATTACAATGGCCTGCTTATTAATCCATCTTCCAAACTGGACTGTGACCTTGCCAAAGGCTCAGAATTCATTAAATTCTTCTCTGTGTCCTCAGTGCCTAATCAATACCTGAAACCTACTCCATGTTCAGTAAGTGTTCATTGGAATGAATGATTGAATAAGTGCACCTTCTCTGACTCTAAGCTCAGCCGCAAGACCAGGATCTCTCCCACTTCTCCATCTTCTGCGAACAGAGACCCAATCCATATATATAACCTTAAGAATCTGGGTTGCATGGAGACAGAGAAGGAGGGAGAGAAGGAAGAAAGGATGTGCTAGGGGAGGGGCCAGCATTTAATGCATTTGGATTTGGGATGGGCTCAGTAGCAGAGTGAAAAGAGGTGAGGACTCCCTCCACAGCAGCCCAGACACCTTTGTGAGGACTTGTTCTAGGAAGAGGACACTGTGGGGTGGGACAGCCTGCCTGGAGTTTCAGGAATTGGTCCTCATTAAACTATAGGCTTCTGAAGCAGGGCATAGGTCCACACAGAATCTCACACACAAATGTTTACAGCAGCCTTATTCATAATAGCCAAAAAGTGGAAAAACCCAAATGCCCATCAAATAATGAGAATGGATAAATAGAGTGTGCTATATGCACACAGGGGACAATGGCCATGAAAAGGAATGAAATAGTAATAGATGCTACAACATGGACAAACTTTGAAAGACAGAGCCAGACATAAGATCACACAGATGATTTCATTTATGTGACATATATTTACTTGTATGGCAGAGTCCCATAGAAGGTAGAAATATATAGACAGAAGGTAGATTGGTGAGTATTTAAGCCTATGGGAGGTGGGAAGGGAAGTTGGGCCTGACAACTAGAGGGTATAACATTGTTGTTGTTGTTCTATTTTGAGGTGATGAAAATGTTCTAAAGTTAACAGTGGTCATAGTTGCCCACTTCTGTGAATGCACTAGAAGCCACTGAACTGTATATTTTATACAGGAGAATCACATAGTATGTGATTTATATCTCAAAGAAGCTGTTTAAACACACGAAACTCTGTAGCAGATGGTCACCTGTGCTTTGGAAGACTGTGTGCCAAAATTCACGTGTCCATGCGTTTCCGGGGTCTGCTGACTTCACTGGGTTCTCTGTGATCTCCTGGACCTCTGCTACCACCAAGGGTAACTGCTCTCGGAAGCCAAGGCCCCTGAGAGGGCTCAATGCAATGCTTGACTACAGAAAGAATAGAATAAATATTAATGGAAACAATGTAATAAATATTAATGTAATCAAACATGCAGATCAAATATGTAGTCTTATTGAAATAAAAATGATTAGTGATCACTTTGATAACTGAAAAGGATACAGTGTTCTGTGTTGAAAAAGGAGTTGAAAAAAAGAGTGATTGTGAATTCCATTCCCATATGTAAGGTTTTTTTAATTCTAAAGTATTATTTGTAATGTAAGGCTCTATCACTTTTMCTGTTTTTGGAGATYGAACCCATGCYTACATGCCAGGCAAGTGCTGAGCCACATCCTCAGCTCTCCTAATCATTCTCTATACCTATTTGTTGACCACTTTCATTCTATTAATATTCTTAAAATAAATTTAAGAAGTTGGTGAGAAATTAGATTGTGTGCATATGTAGTTTAAGTTTCTTAACCTTCAATAGAAAACTTCATCATCAGAAAAGAGGGTCTGCTGTCTCCTCAATCAGATAAACGCACCATAAGCCTTTTCTCTGAATGAGAAAAAAGCAGAGAACTGTTTTTTTGCAATGGGGAGGTTGGTAAAGGTTTGTGAAACTGGACCATTTTTTGCTTTTTTAAAAGTTACTTGAAACATCTAAGGCAATGGGTTCTTTTTCTTCTTCTTTCTTTCTTCTCTCCCCACCCCTTTTTTTGACCAACCAAGGTTAGCGGGTGCTCTCACACGCACCCCAAACACTCCTCTAAATCTGAACTTCGAATCTCTTCCCCCTGCGTGGCAGCACTTCTTCTCTCTGATCTGTCACGCTCGGGTACCCATCCTGGCCGCGTTGCGCAGGCGACGTGCGCGGTCGCTTCTCCTCCCCGCGCGCATCCCGCAGCCCCGTCCGGGGGATGGAGCCCGGCGGCCGAGCCGGCGCGCGAGCAGCTGACTGCTGACTCAGAGGCGCAGCAGCCGCCCGCGAATCTCGGCGCAGCTCGCTGCTGCATCCCTATCCCACAATCCCTTGCCGGGCTTGCTGCAGTCCTTTCCACGGGCGCCGAGAGGAGAGATGTCCTATCAGATAAAGATYGATTGGTCTGAGTGCCGAAGGGGGTCTCCCACTTGTTAATGACCCAGAAACAGTCCTGCCGACTTGGCTGAGCCTCCTCTCGTTTCCTCCATTTTCCTCCTCCTCTGTCCTGTTCCTGAGCTGGCGCATCCCTCCCTAGAGCAGAAGATATGCTGGGCTTCTGATGATGGCTGCACTGCATGGTAGGGAATTTTAACCAGTCTCTTTGCATGGTGCTTCCAGACTTGAGATGGTAGCAGACATGGGCTTTGTTCTTTTGGATTGCCGCGGAGCTCCAGCGACAGACTCGGGAGGATTTAATTCTTCTTTGCCTGATTAGTCTGTCTGCAGAAATGGGTAGGTTCAGAGGTCCGGGTTGCTTCGTGCTGTGCCAGGTTGATAACTGATTTCTCCTGCTCTCCCTTGTGTCTGGCTTCCTCACCCCCACCCCTTTCTGCTAGTGGTGCTGCATGCTCCATAACTCTTTAGAGATCCACTGTTTGCTTAAACAAAGGCATCAAATTAACCAGTTATGGGGGCAAAGTTATGCAAGATTTTTTTTTTTTCCATCAAGTTCTATGTGAATTGGCTAGGTTTTATCTTTATTTTTTTTTTCCTGGTCTTTATTTGAATGTTGTCCTGGTTTGTTTTAAGTAAAAAAAAAAAAAAATCCCTGTATCTTTCTGTCAAGATGAAATATTTAATTTGCAGGATTCCTTCCTCTATACCCCAGGGTGGAGGAGAACGTGGGATGCACCCTCCCCCACCCTGCCCACTGTTAAGAGAACCCTGGGGTTGAGTTCCATGGCTCCCAGTTACCATTGGAAACCCATTCATTCAAAATGCACGACTCGACCCTCTGAATTCTGAATGCTATCGAGAACCAGCAAACAAAAATACACAGCAGACGATTTCTTTCAGACAATTTTTTTTTCCTGCCTTGGAAGTACAATCAAATCTGGGTGGAGCTCAATGGTAGCAATACACTGAGCAGGGAAAAAAAAAAAATCTTTGGTTTGGCCCTTAGGTTTCACTTCCTTAAACTGTGGGTAATATTTTTGTGTCAGAGCTTTTTCTACAAGAATGCCCCACCCTGTCATTAGTTCTTCTTGTAGGAGATAGAAGAGCATGCAGAAAGGCTATTGAAAGCTAAAAATTGAATGTTAATCAATGTATTCAGAATCAAAAGAGAAAATATTTTTGTCTGAAGAAAAGATCATTTCAATGTCCTAGCTTTCAAGAACATATAGACTCAGGATGAGGTATTTAAAAAATTATCAGTTCGTTTCTTCAGCTGGGATCATATTACAGCAGTTTTATTCCTTGTGAATCAATCGGAGGTTTCTTAAAAACCTACAGTATGTAAGAAGAGCCATTTGTTTGCTCAGATCTTTAAACTGATTTTTCAAATAGTATTAGGATTCATTTTGCCTAGGATGAATTTTGGGGGGGCTTTCGTTAATTGGGGGGGGCAGATGCTTTATTGGCACTGTACCTAATCCACTGTGATGTTAAATAATGCAGGCCCCTCCTCAGCAAGCACACAATGAGAAGTTTCAYGTGCACTGTGGTAGGAGAAAGCCGCTTTCTTATGCCAAGATCTCAGTTGGTAGCCCTTCCTGAACCACTAAGCATTTCTTTCCAATTTCTCCTAGAAAGACCCAAGTGATTTGCATTGCAAAGGTTAAAACTCGGCTGAATGTAAAAAATTCTCAGATAGAATGTGCTTTCAGAATATGTGAATGCAGCATATTTAACCCACACGTTTGTCTAAAAAGGGGGAATAAAATCTACACATTTTCACCATAGTTAATGTTCCAATCCTGAGATGACTTAATTGTTAAGATTTAGAGGATAACAAAAGATTAGTAGACTTTGTGATTTSTGAAAGTCAAAACACTCATTCTTTGTCTTTACTAAGAAATGAAAATGGTCTTCATCCGGATAACTTTAGGCTTTAATTTCTCTAAGCTTTTGACCTTCTTTTATTTTTATCTTCATTAAATAGGAAAAATCCTGTTTATTCCCAGGTTTCTGCACAAGGGAAAAAAAAAAGAAAAAGAAATAAAATAAGAAAAATCCCAAATATGTAGCAATTTTTAAAATTTACCAAAGTTTAATTTTTAAGATTCTCTCAGACCCCTTTTCATTCTCTCTGATAAAACTAACACTTTAAGCAAATATTTGTAGGTATTATTGGGATATACAGAAGAGAAATACTTTCAAACTTGAAAKCATTTACTGCCAAATTATTTACTATCTTAGGGTTTTTTCCTTCCAGGGGGGTTGGAACCCAGGACCTTGTGCGTGCACGGTACCACTGAGCTACACCCCCCCAGCCCCTTCTTAGTTTTTATTTTTTTTCCCTCAAAAAATGTGAGCGAATGACTTCCACATTGTGACAAAATGACAATTTGCACACAGCTGTAACAGCTTTCTTTCTTTTTTCAATTCTCTGTTGCCATCTGTGTCTCTATTGCTTATACAAGTGTTTCAGTGTCAGAGTACAATTTGCTGTCAAATGTGTTTTTTTTTTTATATATTTCTATTGTGCAGATTGTCTGAATTTAACCAATTAGGTTTCTTCTTAAATTTGGAGTTTTAGATTAAGACTAGAAAGTGAGGGAAAAAAATGAGTTAAGTAGTCAAACAGCATCATTGAAAAACCAGGGTTGCTGTGTTTTTCCTACTAATCTCACATCCCTTCTCCGTGACCCTCTCTGCCTTCATAGTCTCAATAGCCTCCATTTTTCCACTAAGTGCTTTTTATTATTTTTCTTGAAAACCTATTAATTGAAGGAAACATTGTAGCCAACAACAGAAGTAAATAATGTACTTCCTATACTCCAGTGGCCAAAAGGGGTTTACTGCCACTTAGGCTTGTGTCTCTTGAAGTTCTGATGATAAATAAATTTCTCTGCCCGCTTCTTGTCAGCCTCTCCCCATCCCCAGAGTCTGTCCCCACCACTGAGCACTCTGACTGTCCGCTGCCTTTCTTGCGGTCCAAGAATGCTCAGCCTCTTTGTGTCACCCACAAGGAAAGCAAGCGGAGAGAGACTTGACAGGATGATTGATGGAGGGAGAAGAGACCCCACTCATCTTGATTGTCCCAGGGTACCGAAAGGGTCAATCAGCCCAACCACTTAACACTCCATCACACAGAAGCAGCCTCTGAAAGTTGGAAAACCCAAATCAAAGCTTAAGACCTGAAGCCAGAGGTGAGGCTTTCTATAAAGAAGGCAATGGCCAACGATGACCTCGCTACACTGAAGAGAGACATCTGGGACACAGGTGTAGGTATTATGGAGAGAAGTTGGAGCTCAGCTCAAAAATCAACCGTGATATAGAAAAAGGCAGCACATCATACATTGGAGCCTGGAAATTAAAGGGAGTGACTTGGGAAGTTGGGTACATCCTTGCCTGGAGACAAGTTAAAGTAGACAGCTCTTTATAGATGCCCCGCCCCTTACACACAAGCGCGCGCGCGCACACACACACACACACACACACTCACACTATCAGGAAAGAGAATGCATCCAGCCTTCTAATTTACAAAATGGCCCATCTGGGATAGAGACTTGATTTAACTGGAAGTGGGTCACCCTGTTTTAATTTCACTTAAGATTGTCCTCTTTTCTTTCTTCTAGTTGTTCCTCGGTAACAATGCAAATTCAATTACAGGTGAATGCTAGCAGGCTCATCACCTAAAATAACTACAAATACCTGTTTCTCTAAGCATGCTTTCACCTGTGCCTTGCACGCTAGGTGTCACCTGCTCTGGCAGGTAGAGGGTAATATATGAGTTATAAATAATCTTAATGGTTCAAGATTTCCTTTTTATAAATGTACCAAAAGATTTTTTTATCTCCAGAGATGGTGATTTTTTGCTTGCCCACACCCTTGTCATTGGCCCAAGAACAAAAATGTAAGCGTAGTAATAAATACATTTACCCAAAGGGGCAACAAAGAGAAACGTCATAACACTAGACTGTAGGAATGGGATTGAAGCCAGGTGCTGTGGTGCACACCAGCAATCCCAGCTCCTCCAGGAAGCTGAGGCAGGAGGATCCCAAGTTCAAGGCCAGCCTGGGCAATGTAGCAAGACTCTGTCTCAAAATGAAAAAAAACGCTTAGGGACATAGCTCTGTGGTAAAGTGCCCCTGAGTTCAATGCCCAAGCTGCCAAAAAAAAAAAAAAAAAAGGATAGGAGGTTGGGGCTGTAGCTCAATGGTAGAGCGCTTTGCCTGGCAGATGTGAAGCCCTGGGTTTGATTCTCAGCACTACATAAAAATCAATCAATCAATCAATCGTGTTCATCTACAACTGAATGTGTGTGTGTGTGTGTGTGTGTGTGTGTGTGTGTATAGAGTACATGTAATCAAATATACTTCTACTTACCCACAAATCACGTTAGAATTTCATTTTTCAGAGGGCTCTTGGCTTCTGTTCCCCAGCCATGTTCTCTACCTGACAAGTTAGTTTGGCCAACTCCCTTCCCTTCTCGCTTTTCTCTTCTATCTTTCTTTGTTCTTCCTCGTGCTGGTGTCAGCAACGAAGAGTCTGGATTCTTTCTGATCCAAACAGTTTTGTTTTGAGGGTGAGAAACATGGTCCAAATCTTAGAATTGCGGACACAGGCATTTTTCTCTTTTTTCATCTCCTATCAAATTCTTTTCCATTTGGTGGTCATTTCCACCAAGTTGTGAAAGTAAGCCAGGAAAAACATCAGAGATGAGGTGAGGAAAGAAACGCTGGGGCAGGGTTTTTCTGCACAAGGATTTAGTTGTGGGATTGCTGCGTTGCTTCCCCACCACAGGCTGCACTTAGTCAGCAAAGCCCCCACTAACAAGGAACTCGTGTGCCATCTTCTCAGACTTTTTAGGACCGTGCATATGTGTACTCAATATATGTTTGTTTATTTTTCTGCATTTGTGATCGTGTTAAAATATGTCACTATTATTTACCCTCTAACCAGGGCTCGTGGCCAATGCCTCTAATCTCAGTGACAGGGAGGCTGAGGCAGGAGGATTGCAAGTTCAAAGCTAGCCCCAGCAACTTAGCTGGACCCTGTCTCAAAACAAGGGGGGAAGTGAGCTGGGGATGTAGCTCGGTGGTAGAATGACCCTGGATCCTCAGTACCACATTAAATAAATAAATAAATAAATAAATAAATAAATAAATAAATGTATTGTGTTCATCTACAA